CCCCTGCTGCCCCCGCTGAGCTGTTGAGTCAGAGATAGAGTCCTGCACAGGGACCACCACTCAGAGGTGCCCCAGAGCCACGGATCCAGAAGCGCACTTTCCTCCGTTACTCAGAACTGGTCAGGCTCGGGGGACTGACTCATGTTTATCCAAACCCACAAGGGGCTGATTTAAAAGCCCAGGGACACCAATTTATTAATTTACAATGGGAGATGGGCCTGGGCTCAGGGATCCGGGGCAGGGTGTTCTAACGTAAGGGGACAGCCCCCCCCCGGGACAGGTCCACCCAGGGGACCAAATTAAAGATCAGGAGGAGGCTGCTAGGTCGGCAAGGATTTAAAGCAAAGGGAGCCAGATTTCCTCAAGAGAAACTTCCATCAAGCTACGGAGGCCTCATTAGATAACCTGCGCTGCTGGGGGGCACAGGTGCTGAAGAACCGCTGCCTGACGCAAACACACCGACACCCCCGGACTGTGGACGGAGCCCGCCCTCCACCCTCCGCTCCTGCCTGTTTCACCCCGGGCACGCAGACACGTGTCTTTAGGGCAAGTGGTTCTCAACCTTGGCTACACCTTCGAATCACCTGGGAATCTTTAAAACCCTGATTTCTGGGCATCACCTGGGAATCTTTTTAAAATCCTGATTTCTGGGCCTCATCCTCCAGAAATTCTGTGTCTTTGTTATGGGGAGGATGGGGCCCAGAAATCAGGATTTTAAAAAGATTCCCAGGTGGTTCTAATGTGCAGCCAAGGTTGAGAACCACTGCCTTAGAGCTTCCTTGGAGGGAAATAGCTCGAAGCCTAAGCCGAGGCTGCTAGTGAGGCAAATGGTGGGAGCCCCCGAAGGCCGGCAGGCGAGAGAAGTGGGATCCTGGCAATAAATGAACCAGGAGAGTCTGTGTCCAGAGAAGCCAGCGTGAGTCAGTCCAGTTCCCTCAGAATGTGAGGGACGCCAGTGGTCAGATCGGGGCTGCCTGGGCACGGTGTGGGCGGCAGCGGGACAGCCCCCGGAGCGAGTGGCTGTTGGCCATCCACGCGACCTGCCTGCGCCTCAGGCCGCCCCGGACATCCCCACTGACCATGGTGCCTGTCTGTCCCCCAATAGAGACAGCGCCATGCTGGAGTACCTGAAGATCGCCCAGGACCTGGAAATGTACGGGATCAACTATTTTGAGATAAAAAATAAGAAAGGAACAGACCTGTGGCTTGGAGTGGATGCCCTGGGACTCAATATTTACGAGAAAGAAGATAAGTGAGTTGAACTTCATACTGAGCTTTAGTTGGTGGGGAATGGGCCTGGAGGCAGTGGCGAGCATGCGGGCTGCGTTTGAAGCACGGGCTGCGTTTGAAGCGGTTACCGGCAGCCGACTGGCCCCGGGGGTGTGGGTCTTCGAGGGCTTGCGGCTGTGACGGCGCCTGGAGTGTGCGTCACTTCTCTCCTGTCTCTGCGACCTTTTTACCGTCACGTGTTGCATGTGCGGAGGGTCCCGCAGGGAGACCACGGAGGTCTGTGACCTCACCCCCACTCCCCGCCTGGGGTGCCGGCCCACCCAGAGCTCCCCCCAGGCAGCCTGGCGGCTTGGAGGTTTGTGCTAATCCAACTGGGGTATTTGTGGGGCTGCTGGGGACCCTAAGACCTGTAAACAATAGCCTTTATGTACACAGCCCACCAGGTCCTCTGCCACCCGGGAGGTGAGTGGTCTGTTGGGCATGGAGCAGGCCAGGTGAGGGTTCTCAAGAGCGGCTTCCCTGACTTCCTGTGCCCGTCCCTGCACACACAGGCCTTTTTCCTTCTGAGAATCCACACAGAAAACATCGTTCTAATTCAGTGAGCGGAGGACAAGCCTAAATTCTAGATTCTTCCCATCAGAAGCTTCCTGAGTGCAAGCGGGCCTGATGGCCGGCTGGCGTCCCAGCAGAGCGTGGCTGCAGATCTGAGGGTGAGGGTGCCAGGGCTGCCCTCAGGCCTTTATGCCAAGCCACGCCCTTGGGCCTGGGTTCCTGCCTCGGTGCCTGCGGAGCCCAGGCTAGACCACTGACCCGGTGCCCCTCCTGGCCGCAGGCTGTTCCTCTAAGTCCTGGCTCCCCCATGTCCACCTGGGCCTCCCTCTCCCCACCCGTTCCCAGAGGTTAATGTTCTCAGCTCCCCCACACTCCAGAGCGCCCACAACCCCTCTCTGGCATTCTTGAGGGGCGCAGTACTGCTTTTGACAAGTGATACCACAAAAGAACCGCTCTGTAATCTCAGCCACCCGCATTCTTGCCAGAACTCCAAGTACAGGCAGGGCCCCGGTCAGACGATCCTAACCCCTCCACTTGGTGCCTGAATTGGGTGGAGGCTGGTCGGGCCGCGCTGGGGATCCCTGCTGGAGGTGCTGGTCACACACACGACGGGACAGGCCTTCAGAGCCTAGAGGTGGGTTACGGGGCCTGTGCTCTTCCCGAGTGCGTGAGCGGAGGCCTCGTGGATCACATGGGGGAAACTGCCTCTTTGAACTTTCTTGAATGACCAGGTTTGTAACGCAGCCTTGGCCAGGGCTGTCCAAACAGGTTTTTCAAGCTGCAAGCAGCAGCCTAGGCAGGAACGTGGTGAAGGCAGCCTGTAACACCCCCAGCACACAATGTGCATTTTTCCAAGTAAAACGAGCTGCTGGCTTCTCCCGTCCTATTCCTGCTCCCCTCCCCCCAGGGAGCGGGTGAAACTGGCGACCCTCTCAAAGGGGCCTTCTCCCCAAAGACAATGCTGGGGGGGGGGGGGGCTCCTCACTTCCTGCCTCCCCCCTCCTGCTGGGGAAGGCATCCCTCTTCAGTGACGAAAACAAGCAGATGTTCACTCAGTCAATAGGCCCAGCTTCTCCTTTTAAACGAATATGGACAATACGGTGTCCATGGCGAGCCAGGGGCTGTGGCTCAGGTCTGAGGCCACTCCCGGCTGTGTTCACGTGGACTTGGTGCCCTTGCAGACGAGCAGTGCAGGGTCGGGTTAGGGTTGGATTAGGAGTGCAGGGGTGGGTTAAGGTGAGGAGTGCAGGGGTGGGTTAGGGTTAGGAGTACTGGAGTGGGTTAGGGTTAGGAGTGCAGGGGTGGGCTAGGGTTAGGAGTGCTGGAGTGGGTTAGGGTTAGGAGTGCAGGGGTGGGTTAGGGTTAGGAGTGCAGGGGTGGGTTAGGGTTAGGAGTGCTGGGGTGGGTTAGGGTTAGGAGTGCAGGGGTGGGTTAGGGTTAGGAGTGCTGGAGTGGGTTAGGGTTAGGAGTGCAGGGGTGGGGTAGGGTTAGGAGTGCAGGGGTGGGGTAGGGTTAGGAGTGCAGGGGTGGAATTCTTGGAAGTCGCTCAGATGGGAGACCGGGTACATTGAGGATGAGTTGGGTGATAGGTTCGGTGCGCCCTGCAGAGAAACAGACGTGTGTATTTCACTGAAATGTCCTTTTAGTGTTGAATGTGCTCCGGTTGGGAAGTGCCCCCTGGGCCCCTTGCTCATCGTATACGTGACCCTTACGTGGGAGCCTAGGACTGAGCACTTGTCTTTCTCTCCGTGAACCACAGGTCGGAGCAGGAGACGGCGGGAGGGAGGGAATTGGCAGACACAGCCCCTTCCCTGAAAAGCGTTATCAGCCTGGGAACAGTTCAGATCAGCTGCTATAATTCTGCTTGGCATCTAGACCAAGAACAAAACAACAGAACGAGACAAAGAGCGAGAGGAACCCGATACCCCCCCCCCTCCCGTTCTTTAGTTCTTTAGTCCTTGCAGCAGGGCCAGTGCATTTCGTAGTCCAGGAGGGACGGTGAGGGGTGAGGCTGCTCCCACATGAACCCTTCCAGCGAGAGGATGTGGGAGGGCTGTCCACCAGGTGGGACTGAGACCAGCGCAAGTGTCCTTTCCCTTCGGTTCCTTACTCAGGATGTCAGTCAGATGCTCTGATTTCCATTTCATTCACGTTCGAAAGGACGTTTCAAGCACATAATAAACCAGCTACTTTAAAGACAATTTCCACTTTCCAAAAGCACACCCAGTTGGCAGGATATGTTCGTTCTGGCTGGGGGAGGGCGAGGGGGGAGGTGCCGTGTTGTGCTCAGTGAAAGGGAGGAGACACCAGGCAGTTGTGTTGGCTGTGAGTCTGTTTTACCAGACGCGCGGGGACCCCAGGTGCGAGGCCATTCTCTCCTGGACTCTGGGACCCGAACTTGAACCTGGAACAGTCACGTAGTCTCTATAGAAGTTCCCCATGGCCAGGACTCTCCCAAGTGGGAAGTTTCAGAGTTTGCCTCAGGCTGACAGAGTTTGGGCCGTGGTTAGACACCTGCTCACCCACTGGAGCCTGTAGGCCTGGCCCCGCCGCAGGCTGTAGGGTGGGAGGTGGGGGAGCGGCCCCTCCAGGCACAGGGAGGCCGGGCCACGCTAGTGAGTCCTCCCTCCACGCTAGTGAGTCCTCCCTCCACACTAGTGAGCCCTCCCTCCACGCTAGTGCGGGCCGCACCCCAGCCCTGTTATCTGCCCCAGCCCTGCCTCTGGCCAAGGACTGGCTCTTCGCTCTGTAGGACACGGTGATCTCCAGCCCAGCCCAGCCCAGCCCACTGCCCAGACCGTTCCTAAACTTTTTAAATGAAGAATCTCGGACACATTGCAAACCGGGAAGTTTCCCAGTGAGCGCCGCGTGCCTGCTGCGGGGAGACCTGGGGGCTCCCACCTGCCTGTCCTCCCCCTGCAGTGCCCGGGCCTCCCTCGCACACCTCCCCCACGTGCACATGGCTTCCTGGGCGCAGGGCGTTCTGTTTTCATTTGATGTAAAACTTAAATATAATGAAATGTTCGCTCTTAAGTGTCCATTTACCGAGTTTAGACAAACAAATGCCTGTAAAAATCCAAACTCCTGTCAAGATGTACAACGTTGTCATCACCTTCTGGCATATTTTGAATTAAAATTCTTTAGTTCATTTTGAAATCATTTCAGATTTTTGAAAGGTTTCAAAACCAGTAAATACGAAAGATTGCAAGTGCCCTTCTCTTAGCTGCCCCAGAGTGCCCGTCCAGGTGTCACAGGGGGAGTCAGCACCCAGAGGAGACCTGGCCATCTGTGGGCGTCCCCCATCATAACCGCTGTCCCCCGTCATAACCGCTGTCCCCGACTCTCCTGCCCCAGGGTCCCACCTGGAACAGCCCTTGCATTTAGTGGGCCCGCCTGCCCAGCCTCCTTCCATCTGGGACAGTTCGCTCTGTCTGTCTGTCTGTCTGTCTCGACAACTTGCAAGGAGCAGCCTGGCAGGCACCCACTTCACGCTTGGAAAGTACTGACCATAACTGAGTAGAAAGCTCCTCTATTTGGGTCTTTTTCTCATGGTTACATTCAAGTTTGATACTTCTAAAAAATATATTTTTTATTGATTTCAGAGGGAGAGGGAGAGAGAGAGAGAAATATCAATGATGAGAGAGAATCATTGATTGGCCCCCACTGGGGATTGAGCGCGCAACCCAGGCATGTGCCCTGACTGGGAATTGAACTGTGATCTCCTGGTTCATAGGTTGACGCTCAGTCACTGAGCCACACCAGCGGGTGAGTTTGTTTGGTATTTTGGCGAGGACCCCACGGGCGTGCTGTGCTGTCTGTCCTGCGAGGCCTGCGTGGTGGCCGTGATGCCAGGACCTCCTTACTGTGCTGCTGACCTTGATCACTGGTCAGGTGGGGCTGCTGCGCTCCTCCAGCACTTCCTTCCTTCCCAACCCATGCGGGTGTTGGGGGGACACATTAAACTATAAGCACCCCAGTTCTTATCACACTTTCCTTCTAGCATCCCTGGCGGGTCTTGCAGGAAACTGATTCCTCTGGTATTTGAGAAATGCTGTGCCGTTGAAAGGAGGGCACGTGTTCATTGGAAGGCTGATGTAAGGGGACAGTTCCCATCCCCATTCTCAGTAGTTTCTGTTGCGGGGACTCGGGTGCTTGCTTTATCCTCTGGGCTCTGACCTCGTGCTGTGGTCTGGACACCATTGTTGTTGAGCACTTTCCTTCCACTTGACGAGTCCAGGGTCGTCCTGCACTTTCCCTCCAGGCCTGGAATCGGCTCTTTCTCGGAAGAGCTCTGGTCCCTCTTAGTCAAGAATGTCACTTTTTTTTTTTTTCAATGTGTGGCCTGAGCAAGAGCAGGGCTCACAATATAAATCCTTTAAATCGACGGTCTTTCTCTGTTCATGTCCTATGTGTGAACTCTTTAAAAAAGAGAAAGAAAGAAATCCTTGTGGGCGTTAGTTTCCAACCATGGTCAGGCATGAAAGGGGTTCTTAGCTCCGATCCTCTGACACCGCAGTCAGGCTGATGAATGGCTGTCAGTGTTACACGAGCTTCCAGAGACTAAAGAGACCAACTTTCCAGCCGCGCCAGAGAGGCCCTAGTGACAGCCCGGCAGGAGCGATGCCTGTCTGGCCTTCGCTCGTGGTTGGACAGCTGACCCTCGTCCCTGTTGGCTGGGAACCAAGCGGCAGCCCCCGAGCTCCTCTGCTGCAGTGATCGCTCGTGCTCTGGAGGGAACCTCCTGGTGTCACTCGTGCGGCCTTTGTGTGAGGACACGTGGGAGCCGGCAGGACCCGTGACCTCCTGAGCTCCTTCACCTCTAACAGTTACTGTCCCGTGTGAGAAGCTGGGGTGACAGCACTCCCTGCGTGTGTGTTGGGGTGCTGGGGAGCACGTTGGCCCCTGGGGGACAGGGCCCCAGAAAAGCACCTGCACTGAGAAGGTGTGACACTGAAGCCGCTCCCTGGCAGTGCCCTGACACCGCTCCTCCAGGCGTGTGTGACCGCTGTGTCCCTCAGAGTGCCCCCCCCCAACACACGCACACACACACACACACACACACACACACACACACGCACACACACACGCTCTGCCTTGACCTGGCTTTGCTGCCATAGCAAGACTACGTTGCCCACTAGTTTTTATTTGAACGTGTTGGTAGGCAGCATTCCGCCCCACCCCTGCTCACTTCTAAATGGGGAGTTTTTACACATCTGGGAAAAGACCAGTTTTGATGGCAGTATCCTTGAGTGGTGGCTTAGGACCTGTGTTCCTTCTAAAAGGGTATCCATGGCGACATGCTGGAGGAATAGGGTGGCATCAGGAGGTGAGTAGAGCATGTGGTCTTGAAGTCATATGATAAACGTCCCCGCGTTGCTAATTACAAAGCCGGTCTTGGCCCGTGGTGGACTCTAGTGACCACAGAGGACCGTGTGGGGCTTTCGTTAGGAGTGCGGTCTGGTGGGTCAGAGTGTGGAGGTGACACGGGAAGGAAAACGCACCCACACCACACCCTCGGCTCCTCAGGGAGGCACAACAGTTGTAAACATGTGCCTGCCCAGCACCCGAGCACCTGACTGAATGAGCAAATCCTAACCGATCTGAAGGAAAGGAGACAACAGGACAGGAATGGAGGCCTTCAGTGCCCATCTGCAGCCATGGCTGGACCATCCAGACAAAATCCACAGGCACATGGGGGGCCTGACCCGGCCAAGGCCACTGCCTCAGCGAGCAGCCACTCGGCACAGCTGGGGAAGACACCACGAGGAAGCTCACCTCCTGGGTGGGGAAGACCCAAGGAGAGGAAGTGGGCGGCTGTGGTGCAGGTCGGGCTGGGAGAGCAGGAGGGAGCCCGTCCAGGGGCCTCCGGGAAACCCTGTGTTGAGAGTCTGGGGGACCAGGAAGCCGGGGCTGCTAAGGGGAGGACTGTGGCTTTCCTCCTGTAGAACCTCTTGCCGTGGGGGGTGACGTGAGGAGCTGGCGAGGGACCTAGTCCTGGACCCTCCGTACTCACAGGCTTTCCTCTCGGCCGGTCCCACCTGGGGCAGCAGGAAACCGCCCTGCTGACATTTTGGAAGAGGGACCACTAATCAGATTAGGATGCTGATGTGAGGGTGGTTGCAAACGATGGTTGTGAGAGACATTTCAAACGGGTGCAAGGACGTGCGGGGCTGGACATCCAAGATGACCTTGAGATTACAAGCCAGGGTGACTCGATGCAGTGAGACACTCAAACCGAGAAAGACGAGTGGGAATGGACGGGTTTCCTGAGCTTGAGCCTTACAGACAGCCCCCTGCCTTCCGAGGGCGCGAGAACACTCGATAATGATGTACGTCCCATATTATGCTTCCTGGGTAGCCTTATACTTGTTAAGATTGAACAGAGAAAACTAATAGATTTTCAAACCCCTCTTAGTCAATCCGGGCACGTCTAACATCTGACCTTTTTTAACCTCAGGTTGACCCCAAAGATTGGCTTCCCGTGGAGTGAGATCAGGAACATCTCTTTCAATGACAAGAAGTTTGTCATCAAGCCCATCGACAAGAAGGCGCCTGTAAGTTCACGAGGAGCCGGGATGCTCAGAAGTGTGTGTGTGTGTGTGTGTGTGTGTGTGCGCGCGCGTGCACGGGGGGGGGGGGGGGGGGGGCCGCTTGCCAAAAGGGTACAATTGAGGGGGCCAGGGACCCCCTGGGAAAAAAGGGCCAAACATGGGGGGGGAGGTTCTTTTGGGAGGCCCGGGGGCCCGTCCCCCGGAGTTGGCAGGGGGTTCCCTCTCCATTCCTTAGCAGAAAAGAGCCATTCTGCGTCGTTGACCTTTGCCGAAAGCTGAGCCTTTCTGGGCTTGAAACGCTCGTGTTCACGGGAAAAAGCAGCTGGGGTGCGGGGGCTCCTGGCAGCATCTCGGGTCCCCGCCTGGAGCGGACGGCGATCGCTGCCGGCTCCGGGGCCAGAACCTGCGCTGTCCTTGCAACTTGCCGTGTTAGGCAGTCAGGCCTGCGCCCAGAGCGCTGCTGGGCCTCCAGGGGTGGGTCACGAAGGCCCCGCGGGGAGGCGGCCTGGGCTCAGGCTCCAGCTCCCGTGGGGGGTGACGTGGGAGCTGGGGAGAGACCAAGTCCTGGACCCTCCGCATCTCCCAGGGCTCCCCCCTCGCGGCCGGTCTCACCTGGGGCAGCAGGAAACCAGATTTCCATGTTTCAGTTTTTCCCTAGAAGATAGAAAGGAAATCCCAGAGGCAGGGGCTTCCTTTCCTCCCCCACCCTGGCAGCTGGGCAGTTTCTGCAGCGACTCTGTGCCCAGCCTGTCCTTCCGCAGGCTGGCTCCTCCTGCCATGTGCACGCGCAGGCTGGGGCCTTAACCGTCGCTGTTCAGCCTGCCCGGTGCTGTGAGGCTGAGCCTGCGTCTCCCTGTGGCCTCCTGGCAGAGGCAGAGGCTCGAGGCAGTGAGCTCTAACCGCTTTTGAAACGTCTAAGAAGCGAAATTATGTTGGGCCGGACCCTGCTCTGTGCTCAGCCCCTTTCACCGTGACCTTTGCCCCCCGCCCCACCCCCACCCCTCACGCCCTGGGCAGGGATCCCCAGGTGTGGCCCAGTGGGGAGCCCTAGCAGTTCCCCTGTTCATTCCCTGGCCCTTTTCAAGGTGACCTTTGTTTGGGTTTGTTTCCTTGAATCTGGCTCGTGCCTCGAGGTTCTGTTCTCGGGGGTCTGTTCTCTGCCTGGGTTTGGATGCCCGTCCCAGGTCCGTCGGGGTGTGGTTGTGTGTCAGCACGCTGGCTGGAGGCTTGGATTTAGACACTTGTAATCATTAATTTCCGTTTTTAGTTTTTAACTTGAAGTCAGACTGTCCTTCAGAGGCAGCGCGAGGGCGTCCTCCCTGCGACGCCTGTCCCAGCTCCACAGGGCTCGTCTCCCGGAGGCTGGAGGCCACGTGGGGACGGTCCCACCATTCCTGGCTTTTAAACTGACTTTTATTCTGAAGAGGAGTTGGTGCTGATCAGAGTTCCTTTGCCAGTACATAGGGGACACAGGCAAGACCTCCTGGAGAGTGTGCCTGTCTGTGCAGCCAACACAAGCGTGTTTCCTCTGTGTAATGAGAGGTGGGTGGGCAATAAAAACACCTGTTTGCCCCGGCTCTGCAGACACCTCCCTGGGAAACCTGACGATTTAATGACAACGTGTGAACCCAGGGAGGGCCGCACCCAGGAAGCCGTGGGCTCGGGGCTCAGCATTCTCCCAGGTTTCTGGAGCAGATGAGGAGCTCGCAAGCGAAGTGGGTCCTGGGGCGTGTGGATGGGCCTGGCCGGCACCTCCCGTCGGTCCCAGACGGTGCTGTGGAACGGGAGGCGCTGTCTGTGGCCACTCTCTCCCTGGGCCAGTGGTCAGAATCCGTCCCGATGCTGAGGGCCCTGCGGTTGAGAAGAGAAAGGAAGACAGTGAGGAGCAGCAGGCAGGCGTTGTCAATAACCTTTAGCAGGAGCTTCTAACCCACATTCCCTTTCTGTCACCTGCTGGTCACCGCAGAGCAAGGAGCCAGGACACAAGCTGTGTGTCATCTGTGTCCGGAGCTTCTGTGGTCCCCAGTCACGGAGCTCCCTGAAGCAGCGTTTCCCTTTGCTAAGAAGGCGGCTCCCCCGCGAGCTGCTCCATGAGCGGGCACAGGGCAGCCAGCAGCCTCGACGTGAGCGTTGGTGCACCAGCCCACTTTCATGGTGTGGGCAGCATTCTGAGTCCTTACGAACATTAACTGACTTCATCATCTCGGCAACCCCGTTAGGGTGCTGTCACCCCCACTGCAGAGTTGAAGAGGTTGAGGTTCAGTGACGAAGTGACTTGCTCAAGGTCATGGGGTTTGGTGGTGTTGCTGCCTGAACTGCGGTCAGCCACCAGGAGGGTGTTCGGTGAGCACCAGTAAACACGGGAAATAGAGGGGACTGCCCCCAACCCTGTCCTCCAGGTGCTGACTGTCTAGATCCGGGTGGGGAACATCCGGCCCGCGGGCCGTATCAGGCCTGAGCATTTGGTCTGGCCCTGCCAAGGCAACCGCAGGCAGGACTCAAAATTGAATAATTCTAGTAGCTGTCTTCAGAGCAACATAAACTTAAGTGAACGACGTTATAAATATCCAAAAAGGTTCCCACCCCGTTTGAGTGGGACAGAGACCAAACCGAGCCAGCGGAACAGAGTGCCAGCAGTACCAGCGCAGGGAGGCGCACAGAAGGAGGGAGGCCGTGAAGACGGGAGGGGGCCCCATGGTGTCCTCCCTCGGTCGTGCTGCTGGCTTTGGGGGTACAGCATTGGACAGGACATTCCCAGTAGGAGGGACTGTTGGGGGAAATGATTGCAGGCACAAAAGGGCACGGGTTAGGTGAACAAGGGGGCCAGGGTGGATGGCTTTCGCGTGTGCCAGGCCACGGTGTTCGGCCCGGTCCTAGAGCTCACAGGATGGCATCTGAGGCCCAGCGGGGACCTGATCGCTGTGCGAGTAGCAGTGGGAGGCGCTGGCTGAGGCAGGGAGACCGGAAGCCCAGCAGGGGAACTTGAAGAAGTCAAGGCGGGCGTGGCAGTGGCTGTGGCTGGAGAGGGCTGGCAAGGTGTTACCCTGAAGGTCAGGCGCACTGGCACTGGGGCACTGGGCTCCCTGAGGCTGCGACCTTACATACATAGAGCAGCTTTGCAGCCCAGCATCTGTGCCTGTGCCCGCCCGCCCTTTGCTGGCCCTGGGCACGGCGCCCAGACCTGCATTTCGGGTGTCTCATCTTTTGGGAGTCAGTGTCCTACGTGGAAGCCTCATTCTGGCCCCTGCTCTCGGCTCCGCAACTCCTCTTAGAAACGGGACCGTGTGCGGCGGGGTGGACACGGGAGCGCCCGTCAGCGCCTGCTCTCTCCTGTAGGACTTCGTCTTCTACGCCCCCCGCCTGCGCATCAACAAGCGGATCCTGCAGCTCTGCATGGGGAACCACGAGCTGTACATGCGCCGCAGGAAGCCCGACACCATCGAGGTGCAGCAGATGAAGGCCCAGGCCCGCGAGGAGAAGCACCAGAAGCAGCTGGAGCGGTGAGCGGGCGCGGGGCTGCCAGGGGGCGGGTGCAGCCGGCCAGGCGGCCTCGGTGCCTTGCTGTCCACCTCGGGAGAGCCGGTGGGAGATTGCGTAGTAATTATGGGTGGCTGGGCCCTTGCAGCGGCCTCGCTGTGGCTGGGCTGGCAGAGCTGGCGGGAGCGCCGGGACCTGGGGACAGCAGGTGACCACGCAGCTGCTCCTTCGATGGCTGGGCTGTGACGGCGGCTTCGGGCGAAGCAGCCTCGCTGGATGACTGACTTGCCGTGTCCACAGCGCACCAATCTGCGGAGCCTAAACCTCCCTGCCCTCCCCTAACAGGCAGCAGCTGGAGACGGAGAAGAAGAGGCGAGAGACCGTGGAGAGAGAGAAGGAGCAGATGATGCGGGAGAAGGAGGAGCTGATGCTCAGGCTCCAGGACTACGAGCAGAAGACCAAGAAGGCCGAGAAAGGTGGGCCGCGCTCCTGGGGCGTGTCCCCTGCATTTCACACGGCCCCGCAGACAGACAGCTCCTGCAGCCAGGAGGAATGCAGCTTAGCACCCGGAGTAGAGACTGAGGGACAGGGACAGGGTCAAGTGGTGACGGGCCTGGGAAGTAGTTGTGTGCGGGTCCCGTCGGTGCGGAATGCTTTAGGGCGTTATCTTGTTGGCCCCCCTGCTCGGGGAGGTGAGTCCCGAGGGTCCGTCTTCCTGAAGAGGAGGGGAGGCTTTAGCAGCAGAAAAGGTTGCTCAAGGTTGCAAGGTAGTGAGTGGCGCCAGGCCAGGAGGGGGCGCGCACAGCGCTCTGCAGCGGGTGGAGCATCCTGAGCGCTGCGCCCCGTAAACACGGTGGGAGGGGGCGAAAGAGGTCCCGTCACCCCGAGACTCTCCATCCGGCCCTGGGCTGGGAGTGGGGCCGACTGCAGGTCAGGGGCAGAGCCGTGAGCAGCCGCGGTGCTGTGTCCCCTCAGAGCTCTCGGACCAGATCCAGAGGGCCCTGCAGCTGGAGGAGGAGCGGAAGCGGGCGCAGGAGGAGGCAGAGCGCCTGGAGGCCGACCGCATGGCTGCGCTGCGCGCCAAGGAGGAGCTGGAGAGGCAGACGGTGGATCAGATAAAGAGCCAGGAGCAGCTGGTAGGAGCCCGGTTTCAGTGCTGAATTATGGAGGGGCCGCCTCTGGGGACCGAGAAAGTGACACCTGCCGACAATGATTTCTGTCTGGGCTGGAAGCGGATCGGCTGGACGGAGTCCAGTGCGGGCGGGCGGGCGGTGCTGGTGGTGGGTGCGGGCCGCTGCCGCTGCTGGTCAGGGAGAGACATGTGGCGGCGAGCACGGCCGCATTCCCAGGAGGCTTCGTTCACAAGCAGGCTGTGCTGAAGGCGTTCCAGAACTCACTCTGACTTGGCTCCTCACAGGCCGCGGAGCTCGCAGAGTACACCGCCAAGATCGCGCTGCTGGAGGAGGCGCGCAGGCGCAAGGAGGACGAGGTGGAGGAGTGGCAGCACCGGGTGAGTGGGGCGGGGCGCGGGCGGGCCAGGCTGCCAGGTGCACGGAAACCTGGGGGGCGTTTCGCATGCCCTGCCGATACTGGTCCTTCTTAGAGAGGTTCCCACGGGAACGGGCCTGTGGGATCACAGGGGAACAAAGAGCCGCCTTGATACTTAGAAAAAGGCCACCCTGAGCGTTCCGCCCCACCGGGCAGGCCCCCCCCCAAAAAAAAACTGGCTTTAAGTCGGATTAGCTGGGTGCCCCCAGCAGTGAGCCAGCCACAGGGCCCGAAACAAGCCTCCCCTAGCGGCCTGCACATGCAGCCTGGCACGCACAGTGCTGATGGGACCTGGAGGTCTCCAGGCTCTGCCCCTCATCTGCTGTGTGACCTGGGCGAGGGGCCTCACCTCTCAGCCTCATTTCCCTGTGGACAGTGGGGACTACTGCCCACCTGTCCGGTTGCTGTAGGACCCCCCAGAGAGGTGAATTGCAGCCGTGGTAGCGCCACTCCATCCGCCTTCATGCCCACCAGGAGCACAGGCCCTGGGCGCTGCGGGGCTGGGTCACAGTACAGGCCTCAGACAAGCTGTGGGGGCTCCTGTCCTCCTCCTCCGCGCTTCCCCATCTGAGGCAGCCCCTGTGAGGACGCCTGTGCCTCCCCTCACTTCATCCTGCCCGAGCCAGGGTGCCAACTCCATTATGATGTAGAATCGCTAAATCCCGGCAGAGCCACTGTGGGAAGTGATGGGCGACTAGTGCAGACAGTGCGGAGTGTGTCCTCACCCGGGACGGCTCGTATGGCCTTGGGGAGTTGCTTTGTGCTTCTGAACTTAACCTCCCGAAGAGGACGGGGCTAAAACAAGATAAGGCGTGCGCCTGGTCCTGGGCCTGCTGGGCAGGC